GTTTGTTTGTTTGTTTGTTTTTTGTTTTGTTTATTTTTATTTTGTAGTTGTTGTTGTTGTTTGTTTGTTTTTTGTTTTAATTATATTTTAATCAGAAAGGGAATAGTGAGTGTTTGGAAACCTTCCTCCAAAAAATTCCTTAATCCACCCTTGAAAAACTGAATTTAATAATTATTTATTTGTATAGATGTTGTAAACTGCTTATTCAAAAGCTTTCCAAACTATCTTTCAATCTTTGACCTTGAACTAAACATTACAAGAGCAATGTATTTAACAATGTATGTTTTCTGCGAAAAAAAAAAGAAATATGTCGAGTTTAGCCGTACGCTATCAAGGATTGGCTGAAGACTCGGCCAGGAGTGTAGGCGAAGTTGGTGTGAAAACAACTGATATAGTGCACGAGAGAGGCATTGTTTTCGGAACATGAGGCGGTAAATAGTTCCTTTATATTATCTGAATGACATTGAAAAGTCTTGGGAAGTCTTGTCATAAACGAAGTTTAAACTAACCACTTCGTGCTGCACAAGATTTGTGATGAGGTTGGATTTCAGGACGTAATGTGGGAGAGATATTTGCTCTTTCTCTCTTTCTTTCTTTCTCTCTCTCTCTCCCTCTGAATAAGCACCTATTTTACTTCTTATTTGTACCTGAGAGTAGTTAGCCGTTGCTATTTCAAGGGCTTTCTTTAAAGTAGTGTAGTCGTCTTCACCTAACGATGGGGTCGTCGAGATTGGATGGATGGAGCCATTCTTCGTCGGGTTTTTGTTTTCCCATCCTTGACAAGCATAGGCGTAGAAGTCTTTGCAGGGATCGATCTTTTTATCCATATTATTGACCAGTTCTGTGAAGGAAAAACAAAGAAGAGAAAAAAAGAAAATGGATATTGATTTTTTTTTTCAAGTATTTATTGTTTTAGTAAATCTGTCGTTAGAATATAAATAGTTACTCAGTTTGTTATACACAGGATAGAACCAATGGACTCTAGTGGACGTAATGTTTTCCTAGTAGTCCAGTTTCGACGGAGTTCCAATAGTACCGCTGTGTTTCTTGATCACAGACTCATTTACTCAGGCTTAGCCTCGAATCAGTGTCTAATTACTCGCAAAAACCAACGGTAAAGTAAAGAATGCACAACTTCAACAATACGAGCAGCACTTTGAAACTTGATGGACCTTGTTTGACTGGAACACCTGAATATTCTTCACAAAATCGAGCTTAAGCCTGAGTAAATGAGTCTGTAATCAAGAAACACAGCGGTAATTTGGAACTCGAAAAGGGCATATTCTCTTGAGAATAAAATTCTTTGTTTGAATTGTATTCGTATTCACTATTTAGTTCTTCTCTGTCTTAAACAAAGAAATGATACTCTAGTGAATGACACGTGGCACGGTCTGTAATGGAAGCATCACATCCAATGTAAAGAGGTATATTCAAGTACAAGAATAGAAAGAAGTAAGATGGAAAGACAGAAAACAGAACACTTTGAAAGGTCACCTATATTCATATCTGGGAAATGTCAGATTATCCATGTACATCAGTGATCCGTCGACATTGAGACATTGATCAACTATTTTACCAAACGTTTAATTCAAGGGTTAATATAAATTAAAATGAGATTGTAAATGTTATGGAAGTCACTGTAACATAAGAACAACCCTCCCCCTCCCCCCTCCAAAAATTGGTTCCAAACCCCTTCACACCTCAACGGAGAACTGATCTAAAATTTATGTAGGGGTTTTCATTAGCAGTCAGTCGATGACACCAAGCTAATGTTTTCCACTCTAGTAAGCTTTGTATCGCGTCTTCACTGACTGAAACTCACTTTCATGTTCTGAATATCAACCTTACCCATTCCAAGACGAAAACAGCGTTCTTCATCACAGATTTCGAAGTCAGGTTCTTTAGAAGTTATTGTAGTTTTAGTAACTTTTTGAGAATAGAGTACGGCAAGCACAACGCAGACAACGAGCAACAGAACGCATAACACTACGGCTACTGGAAAGCCAATCTTACGAATCTTGTAGGAGACGCCAACGACCCTTGCTCCATCTCCATCGCTTTGTTTTTCGATGAACGATTGGTCTGCCATGTTTGGCTTTCGAAGCGTTTACTTATCTTAAGTATGCTACTCACAGTTGTTTACCCAGTCGGCTTTTACCTTGAATAAATGCATATAATAGAGTCACTGAAAGATAATACGGAGTAACAGACGAGACGCATTGAAGTATGTAGATACCGGATGTTTTAGTGTAACGCACCATTTACACTAGGAAACGTTGCGGAACGCTAAATCCTTGTTCGTAACATTTTACGTCGTTCAATATTCCAAAAGAATTAATGATAATGAAATTCACTGGGAGATTAAAATCTCGTTAATTGTATTATCAGGAGTCAGGATTTCGTACATCAATAGTATGCATATACCTGCTGTTGGTTTGGGTTAGTTTGGATCGTATTGGACCTGCTTCCGACGGATTCCGAATGGATATCGTTGCTGAACGCGAACTTCTTGTTCGTAACATTTATTCATCGATATTTTTCTTCATTTGAATTTTTCAACGCTATATAAGCATTATATTTCATTTGTCAATAGCCCGGTGGCATAAGGATTATCAGTGAATTGAATTGGGTCGGTCATAAGTACTTCCTTTATTTGAACTATTTGACCAGTCTGTCTGTCTGCAATTATTGTGAGGCCGTCATTATGGGAGAGGGTCTAAAAGGGTTCAGAAGTGAACAATCGAATTGGTCAATTTATAACTTTCGTTCTGATTTCAAAATATAAAAAAACTAGGCAATCTAGCGCCCAAGAACTGAACTGATACAGAATAAAGCCTAGTGTCCATGTTCTCCTATCATTGTTACGTAAACTATATGCAGATTGATATAAAGCTTGCTTTGGGCTTCCTGGGCTTTAACATTGGTTTTCTTAAATTAATTTTCTGTCACGGAGGGTCAGATCAAAATTTAAAAACGTTATTAATTCATTGTTATATGATCATATCATGAGGTCATGATTATTATTAACATCATCATCATCATCCTCAACATTACCATCATCATCATCAACATCAT